CAGAGAACACACATGCACGGTACGTACAATTGACTGCGTAGCCACGAGGAGAGAGAAGAGGAAAGAGAGAGAAAGAGAGAAGACAGAGTCGACGCTCCGAGAAATTACCCGCGTGCGGCTCTCCCGCCTGTTGACGACGAGGCGTACTCGGCACGGACGTCAGCTCCCTTATCCGCGGCGGAGCCGAGGGCCGGGGTCTCCTCCGCGCAGGGCGGACGGGCGCGGATTGCACCACGTCACGAAGAAAGTCGCGCGGCGGACGCGGGTGAGAGTCTAACGATCGCCGCTCCTCCGTGCCTCCCGCCTGCGGCCGCCGTCGTCTGTCGGAGCGCGGCGACGGACTAGAAGCTGCAGCGGCGGCACGTCGCGCAACCAGGACGTTCCACGCAAGTTCCAGCTGACGTCCTGACAGGGCGGGCGCACGAGGAGGGGCATTCCACCGAGGCGAGGGGGGAAGAAACGCGAGGACCGCGCTCCGCTCTCGCGGACCCTCGCCTCCCGGATTAACGATCGCGCCGTCGATCGGCTGGCAAGTGCGCCGGTTATCTCGACGCGGGCTCCTCCTTGCCGCGTTCTCCAACGTTCCTCCGACCGCGACGGGAATGTATATTAATCGCTCGACCGGGGACCTCCTGCTTTTCTGGATCTGACGTCTCTCCGCGAATGCGCCTCGCGCATCCGCCACCCCTCTACGACTCCCTACCCTCTCCTTCAGCCTCTCGGTCAATTCGCGGCCCTCTCCCCGCGCCTTTTGCCCTCCGGGAGAAGAGCTCGCGGAGGGCCGGCGATTAACGCGAGCGGGTCCACGCGCACGGACCTCTCCACGCGGAGGAGACGCGTGCACACACGTCGGAGAGACCCCGCGCGTGCACCAAGCGGAACTGCGCACCACCTGTCAACGACTGACTCGGGCGCGAGTTCGAGCTGACCCACCTCCGCTCACGGGAGCCGTCGGCCGATCGAAGACACCGCCGTCACCGCCACCGCCGAGGCTGACACTGCCGCCGCCGTCGTCGTCGTCGCCGTCGCCGTCGCACGTTCCCGCCGAGGCTCGGCCAGGTGGACGACGAGAATGCGTCGCGCTGCCGTCATGTCGACGCACGTGGACCGTGCGCAGCGCGGGTACGTGCAGCCGCGTACAACCGGCGGAGGAGAGACAGTGGGAAAATCGCGACGGCCGCACCGTCGACGAACGCTCGCTCGCTCGGTGCTGCCCCGGTGGTGGCACCGCCGGCGACGGCGAGAACGTATCGTATAACGGGTTGGGGTGGGACGAGGGAGAGAGAGAAAGCTTCTAACGCGCCGGCGGATGAGGCCTAGAGAGGGAACGATCGCGGAGAGGAGGTTGGGAAAGAGAGAGAACGCGACAGACAATACCCAGCCAACTGCACATCGCTGAATGAACCCACCGTGACCCCGACGTTCCACCGCGCATCGGAACCACAGCCACCCCCCGTGGTATCCACTCTGTCCCTCGTTTGCCCTCTTCCCCCTGTCCCTGTCTCCTCTTTCCTCCCCGCCGACATGATCTTGACGTTATTTCATATATAAACGCGTCTCGCCAACCCCGTCCCTCCGACGAAACCTCTCCCTCGCGAGACGCAGCGATACGCGATCCAACTTCCGTAAGTGAGCCTCTCACCCCAGGGAAATACCGTCCTTCAAGAGATACTCACTTGAAATCAGCCCGCGACGACGCGCTTATCTCTCCGCGGTGTCTTCTCGAATAACCTACATGGGTCCTTGGTTTACAGTCGCTGCGATAATTAGAAAGGAAAGTATTCGGGCTGATCTTTCACGTACAATTGTCGCTTCCTCTTCGAGACCTCCATTGACGTCGATTCGACGTTAGTGTTCTCATTGGGAATTGCCCGAGTATAAAATATGAATACACAAAGAAGCCGTCGTTCACTCGAGAGAAGTCCATCGTCTTGAGCTTCTGAAGACCGGACAAGCGAAGAAATGAGAGAAGTGAGGAAGATCAATAAAGAGTTAACGACTCCTCGTTTAGAAAGTTGTACAATTAGATATTCGATTTTGATGGCGCTGCGGCAGACCTATTACCGCTTATTTCTTCCTAATGAGAAAGAGGGCTGCTCAAGCGCTCATAGTGAAATGTTATTCGTTTCGCGATGTGTTCTACATCAGACCTTACCCTCCCGCCCCTGGTTTAACCGTTCTATATCTGTTACTTGTCGGTGTCAATAGCTGTTAGCGACACTTAAAGGGTTTGATCATCGTCAATGGAATTTGCTGAATGGAACTCCGAACAGCTTCATCGAGGCCGAATGGAGCAATAAGCTGACTTATTCTCGAACGTATAATCACTCAACTTTTTCTCCTCCGGTCCACAATGTCAACTTTAATAAGCTGAAATTGAATGTGTGTCCGGTTATCAGTTAATATCATCCGTGCAATATTGGAAGATTAATGAGTTTAATGCTCGCTGATGTTGGTTATACAGTATTTGTAGTGATGGCTACTGCACCAATAGCGGAAGATGTTTGGAACTTCATTTTGTTTAAATAACAAAAATAAAGTAAAATTAAAAACCGACAACCCTCGGATATTAGATGAAATATTATATTTTAGTGACAGGCGGGGATACTAATCACTATATTACCGAGGAAAATTATATTTTAGTGAACGTAACGTTTCAAAAGATATGTCTAAAATTAAACATCAAACATTTCAATCTTCGAATCTAACCCTCTTCAATGATAAAGTTGTATTATGATATAACTTAAGCTTACATAAGTGTCTAGTTCTTCTTTCTATTACTCATAATCTGCGTATATCTTAATTGACATTCTATGATTTTTACATATTTTAATTCCAATCAACTCCATTTGTAACAAACATCACCGTTCAAATAATGACTTAGCGTTTTTCGATCAGATTGTTACTGAAGAGGGTCACTCTCGTGACCGAAACATTTAACTTTTTTGTATACTGATGATATCACCTCTTTAACATGTATACTTTAAATCTTATATCTATTATTTATCACTTTCTATCCGGTAATGGCTCCCACTACTTCTAGTGTCTTTCTTTTCTATTATTTTAATTATTGATATCAATTTTGTGTTTAATTTCATATACAGGGTGTCCTGAAATTCGCGAATCAAAATACCATAGCAAGAATGTCGAAAAATAAATTAAAAAGTTATTTGCCATTTTTCGTTCCGAGCAGTAGTTGTTTTTAGATAAAAAGGTTCAAAACAGGCCAATCATACATTACGGTTGAACGGAAACCTGTTCGTGAGTCGCGCGTCGATAGTGTTAGTGCACTAAACTTCAACCGTTCAACCGTAATGTATGATTGGCCTGTTTTGAACCTTTTCATCTAAAAAAAAACTACTGCTCGGAACGAAAAATGGCAAATAACTTTTTAATTTATTTTTTCGACGACATTCTTGCTATGGTATTTTGATTCGCGAATTTCAGGACACCCTGTATATCTTTTAAAACTTGTTATGTTCACTAAAATATATTTTATCTAATATCCGGTATCGGCGCTTATGTTATTTTCATTATTCCTTTATTGTACAAAGCTATCTTTCCTTATTAAATTCAATCGCATTTTAAACATATATTTCACACACATACATACTTTATACACACGTTATTCACATTAAATAAAATTATTTTTTCTTTATATATTGAACAATGAGATGCTAATAATATATATCGTGATAATAATATATTAGTATATTATAAAGACCAATCAAATTTCTTTCAACAATAAAGATAATTTGCTGCTAATGAGAGGTAGAACACATCGTCGCGAAGTAACTCGCCATAAAGTTCACTCCTCATTTGGTAGGCAATGTGCATCGGTGCCGATATCGGCGCCGTATTTGACCATCACGCGCATGCTGGATCCGCCGTGACGTCAGGGGGCGAAAAATCAATCCACCCTGCCGCGCCACGCTGTGCGGCAGGGATGCGACTGTGTGCGCGACCCGCCACCATCCGCCGTCTTGTTAATTGTTACAGGGGTCACGTTCGCGAATGTAATAGACGAGACAATGGGGGGGACTCTTATGGGGTTTCAGCAATAAACGGAGACGCGCAAAAGCGCACGCGCATCGCGTTAAACTTCGCAATCCGTAAACTCTCCAGCTGATTGGGAGGAGACTCAATGTTTATCGACGCGGGCGAGATTAACTGCAATTGCGATCACGTGCATCTTCGTTGACACACGTTCGATTGAATAAAGACGAATAATCATGCGAGCGAGTCGACGGTCGCATCGTTTTATCACATACTCGATCACCGCGATGAAAAGCAGTTGTCGCGTCAAACGTTTTTTCCAGTAGCGTTCGGTATCGAGATTTAAAACTGTTATAAGCTAAATGCCTTTAATCGTAAATTAATTCACGCTTTCAACGATCTTATAAAATACATTTTTCCTTCATTTCCATGCAATTGTACATGTACAATGTCTAAACAACTGTTTCAAACGTACTGGCTGCAAAATAAAATGTTTCTAGACACATTGTAGATTAGGCTGCGACAGAAATGATCACCGCTCGCGAAATAAATCGCGCATCGCGCGACAGTAATTAACCGATTATTAATTAACTGACCCGACTATCGACGCGTACGTGGCAACGATATATACTTACGTAACGACGACGAGAGGGGTGGGGGAGGGGGGGCTCACCAGGCAGGAAGTCTAATACGCGAAATTACTCAAACACGCGTATAATGGCGATCGCGTGTCTCGCTTGCACGTACCCAATAAGCAGCGGACTCGAACGTCGCTTCGGGGCTAATCAAATGCGGCAACATGCGTCCTCCCACGTAGACGGGCTCCTCACGCCAAGTCGGCCACGTGAAATGAAATTCCCCTCGGCCGCGCCGGCTCGGTTCGGCCCGTAAACTGCAATCGCGACGCGGAAAACGGCGCCTTATACGCGGCGCGTTTGAACGCGCCGACCTGGGCCGCGCCGGCGGGACAAACACCGCGCGCGCGGCCCATTGATAAGTAATCCACGGCCTTTGCGACGCAACGTCGCGCGCGCCGGGTGTGTACACTGTGATACCTGACGATAACAAGCGTGCTCGTTGACGGAACCAACCGTTTCTGCTGCGCGGCTTACATAGCAAAAGTTTACCTTGAAGTCAATGGAAAGGGGACCTTGGGAGATTGTTACGAGCGCTATTTTCGACCTCTTCGCGGGAATCAGCAAATGATATCGCCCATTTGACAAAGTAGCCGATAAAATTCCCTTCGGTGTAGCGTTGCGTTTTCCATGAATACGTTACCGTCCGATGAATACATCAACGTTAAAGTCGCGCGTTTGTTTTTTCTACAGGCGTATTTCCAATCATTTTACTCGCCGCGCTGAAACAACTGTATTTTTTTTCGACTCTTGTAAAAATTGTCGAGATTAAAAGCGGGGAATTCTTCTCTCATTGCTCGCGGTTAGCGGATTTAAATATTCCGCTGCGCACGGTAAATATGCGTATACGTATATAGTATCGATTGAGCACTTGGACGAGCTTATATAACGCGGTGTAAACAACATGTGGATATTTATACGTGCAAGCTAAACAATTTGCTGACCTGAGCGACAGCGATTTATGACGAGGCAGCGCGCTTCATTGGTATCCGATAGCCATTAACGCGTGTAATTAGCAGAGACAAAAAAGACGACACGGGAAATGCGTCGCACCGCTCGGTGCGGAATTGGCGTGTTTATTCGCTGCGCGTTTTCCAGAATTGACGCGGTCGCGCGAGGCGGAATCGGAGAATCGCCTGGATCTACCTCGCGCACTTTAGATCTCATCTCGCGAAAGCAGCTTCCCCGCGCAACAAACACTCGCCCGTGTGCTTGTGTTTGCGCACGCTCGCGCGCGCGCGCTCGCGTTTTATTTATGCGCGAGGCAACTTGAGCAGCCTTTATTGCGTTGTTTAAGATTCTTCAGATATGCAGAGCACGCGCGAGGCGAATCAAAACTTGGACTGTGCACGAAATAATTAATTATTATTGCGCGCCGTTATCAGTCCCATTGCGAGCCATGAATGATGTATCACCCGTGATACGTGGCGATGCAGTGGAATAAAGCGGCTGATAAAGCATAAATAAGACTTTCGCGAAGTCGCCTTGAGAATTATGCCTGATAACGCCTTGACGCGCACTTTGCGGGATGAAGGAGGACAGGAAGCGGCTTGAAATAGGCGCCAAGTGGTTAAACAAAAGGCAAGATCAACAGCGGAGCGAGGAAAACAGGTACGTGCACCCCGCATTCCTTGACTATCTCCATTGTGCGAGAAACTGGCCTCGGATATTACGTTCCCCCGTGGCACGCGGGCGAAATGAAGAAAACGACGGCACGAATGACGAACAGTGGAAAAAGCAGTAGGTGTAGCCAGCCACGTCCCGCGATTTACGCCCCTCGACAATGCGAGCGACAATTTTCTCGTTTTTCAACATCAAAATTTGATTCTTCAACATCATATGTCTTGTCTTGTCTTGTCTTGTTTGTCTTGTTTATAATTATATATAACTTTGTACAATTGCATATAATTATAAGCAATTATTCACATGAAAACATGTTTTAGCATGTGTAAATCTGTAAAATTAAGCAGAACTATTGTAAATTTGTAAAATTGTATAAAATTATTGAAGAAAGAACATTGTAAAATTGTATAAAATTATATAGAAATATACAATGTATAGATATATTGGACATATATTGTTATATAATTGTATATATTTATTCATGTTCGTGCATGAAAAATTTTTTACCGAGCACGAATCAAAAGTGGACTCGACGGAGGCACGATTCGATGCATTAGGCCGCCGGCCATCATTAGCTTATTAAGTTAGTTAAGCGAGGACGAAAGAAGACAAGACATTGAGCATTGCGACGGCCATAAGTTACCTTCGACGTCGTTTTAGCTCGCTGCTGACATTTCGCCCAGCAATTTGTACGGCGATTGCTTCCACCACTTGAAATTTGCATTTCGATACCATCTGAGGAAGCATTAATAACAGTCATCTCTCGGAGCGTATTTTTACGACACATGAGAATGCCATTTTTATATTTTCTTTGTGAAGTAGGCGTCGCTATTAGACACAAAGTCGATAACTGAGAGTGCAAGTCTAGAAGATTAATTAAGAGACTCTGGATACGAACAAGCGCGATATTTCAAACTATGCGACGTCGGTATTGTTTTTCAACCTTGCACTTGTATATCTCTTGTCTTTGTTAGCAAGCGATCGTCCAAATTTCTCGTACAATTTCACGATCGAGATTAAAATAAAACTATCGCACTCTCCGTTTTAATCTCCATTCGAGGAATTGTATCATCCAAATGCAAGTGAGCGAGAAGGGATCACTTTTTTTTAAACTGTTGCAACAGAATTTAAACAGGATCGGATCGCAGCAGACTGATGTTGCGGATAGAGTCTTCTTAATGACAAAAGTAATATATGAATTGGCGCTTTGTCTTTTCTAAACTGATGCAATAACTTAAAATAAGTCTGTTGTATGCACAACATGTTTGTATCATTTTATGTTAATGTACTATTGAATATACATGAAAGTGATAATAATAAGTCACTTACACTTATGAAAAACATAAGTACCTGTTATGATCTTTGTTACGTCGCATAAAATAAATTGGCAAGCCGGAATAAATTGATTTAGTCGCCGAGCCAGTTCAAGTACGATTAGACGTCCACTATTACATCGATAACCATATCTGGGTCATGTAAATTATGACACGCAACTTTTTCTAACTGTTTTACCCGATACGCAACAATTATAGTCTTTACGTGTAATTGCACAATCTCGTTCTTGCCCGTTTTACATTGTAGTGTTTTGTTCGTGTCACGATACGTGTGACTAACTGAAGTCGGTTTAAAACATAATAATTTATTGACGTTTTATATTCGTTCGTTTTAATATCTTCCAACAACACAAAATATACTTATTTAAAATTTTCTAGTTTATTTCATTATTACATCAAATATATTTTGAAGCAGATAATAAGAACCGTATAAAGTAAAGACATTTGTCGCTGTATTTTCAATTATTTAATTAATATAAATTTTTCACATATATTTGTTTTATATATTTGTTCACATATTGTATATTTGTTTAATACTTGTCAAGAAGTACGCGGCTACGATAATCATAGAAGTGGCGCTATCTTGAGACTGATATCGCGAAATAAAGTGAATAGAAGCTTCTTCGTTCATCGGATAACAAAATGATATAGAAACAATTAACTCAGAATTCAAAACCTAGTAAATGAGAATGAAGCTTCATTAAATATTTCATAAATCTTCTTTACAATTACGTAAATGTGTTTTTAAATAAGAGGTTTTATGTTCTTAAATAACAAAAAAATTATCTTTTTATTTTTCCTTATCGTCCAAAAGATGCACTTACAATTAGCTCTACATACAATATATATGAATTTTATTTTCCAAAATATTAAGCCATTACCTTAAAAATAAACCCATTACCCTATAATTATTGTATATTCAATTTTATATTTTGTTTCATTGACTGAATTATATGTTGATCGTAATTTACAATTTTAACATCAATAAAAAATCACATTTGCGTGAAACTATGTATACACAATATTTGTAATAGAAACCATCATTAGTCTATATTTAATTTTCGAAACGAACCTTGAGTTCCTTCGAGTTCTATCTCAAGACAGGATACTTTTGATTCCGGTAAACGAGCCTTCTCATTTGTACGACTCAACTTTTCATCTGATAGAAACCAGTCTCTATTCTTTTCAATTTTTTCTTGCCACGCAGCTATGCACATGTAAGAGAAAGAGATGCTTAATACTATAGACCAAATAAGTCTGCTAAAATTACTGTCGTAATTTTATCCAATCTTAAATATTATAATATGTATTACATAAAAGGCACATTTAATATATACTTTATTTATACATTTTTATAAAGGGAGAACGCTCTTTTATAACGGTGATGCCTCTTAAGGATGTATTACGTATACCTTCCCAGCAAAAAATACAGTAATCTTAAAAATTCAATATATATCGGTTGTATGCATACTTTAACGGCTGGCTATTATTGAATATTATAACAAAGATGTTAATTTTACTGATTTAAATAACTTCAACCTCTTTTTATAATTATTGACAGCGTATTTATAAATATTCTTAATAGCGGTTAAAAACTTTTGGCTGGGAATTTGCCATGAATCCAACTGCTAAAAACAAAAATCTGACATATACAGGGTGTCCTGAAATTCGCTGTTTTGAACCTTTTTATCTAAAAAAACTACTGCTCGGAACGAAAAATGGCAAATAACTTTTTAATTTATTTTTTCGACGACATTCTTGCTATGGTATTTTGATTCGCGAATTTCAGGACACCCTGTATAATCTGCATATAGACAGAAAAATGTTTCATAACCTGTCAATCTTCAAACAATATGTTGTTTAAAATCGGAATATAAGACATTTTACAGATATCATTAAGACATCTTGTACACGTAACATCATAAGACGTCTTATAAAAGGTACCCTATATTTATATTTTGGACAGCGTGTTGTCTGGAACGCACATAAAATTTTAAAAAATTAATAACTTGAAAACGAATCAGTCAATTGATCCAAAATTTATCACAGGTTTTCATGGTATATAAATGCACAACTTCTGTAAATTTCAGCTTTTTCCCTCTATTTTAACTTAAGTAACATACATCCTTAAAACATAAAATAATTATGTATTTACCTCTTAATTCTTGAAAAGTGCCCGCTTTACCACCCCATTCGTTAGGAAGTATATCCTTGTTCATGTAAGCATGTAACTCCTCTCCGCCGCCATTAAAAAAACGAAACTGCAAAGTTAAAAAATATATTTCTGCGTGCATTTCCGACTTATTTTATTTAAACCTTTGGCCTTACCTTGTTGATCAATTTCTTTTTCAAAAGCGGATAAAATATATTAATTACATTAACCATGAACGACGGTGCGTTAAGAAAATAAATGTTAGACAATCGGAGCGGCATACTATCTAGCACCGCCAACATTGCCCGTCTTACGATAGATTGCGTCGGAACACATTTTGCAAAGTGCGCCATGCTGTACCCCTGAAAGAACAAATGTCTCTTTTGAAATAAACTACGTAAGAGTTCATCGATCGTCACAAATGAACAATTTAAGAATAATTACTTTAAAATAACTTGAAAATAAATTACTTAAACTTTGAAAATAAAAGCTAGAGAAGGAGCATAAAGTAAAATAAAAGACTTTCTTTGGTGATATTACATCACTCTTATACTTTTTTAATTTCCACTTACTAGACTTTATTAATGAAGCTATGCACAATCTATTTTCGAAGCAACAGCAGCGTAACTAAATGAGAGTGCATTTAATGCACTTGGTGCTAAAGTGCAACCTTTTACATTCTATCCCTTAGCTTTATATATCCAACTCTCTATATACGCGTTCTTTAAATTAACATATAAGCTTATTACATTAAAAAAATACAATTACCGTATTAAACTAGTGGATGTTTTGTATTCATTTACGAAATTTAGTAACAAGAGTATAAGGCCAATAATATACGAGCAACTAGCTGTCAATAAAGCATTTAAAAATTAGTTATAAAAGAGTTTAAGTCACTTATATTACAATATTTAGTATTGTACAGTTTTTCAGTTACCTAACTTATAACGATAACATAAATGGCATTTCTTATATCTATGATTAGCTAATTATCTTATACGGACGTTTCGACTCTACTTATTGTTAGTCAGCCTCAGTGTGTTATTGTCCTTTATACCATTTATGTTATCGTTATAAGTTAGGTAACTGAAAAACTGTATAATACTAAATGTTGTAATATAAGTGACCTAAACTCTTTTATAACTGATTTCTAAATGTTTTATTGACAATTAATTGCTCGTATAATATTGGCCTTATACCCTTGCTATTTTCAAAAAAGGGACTCGCTTGCTTTTATTTTATTTTACGAAATTTAAGCCGAGAGTAATGCCAAAGAGTCCTCGAGATATTCTCCTAGGTAGATGTATGTTATTAATAATTATGGTTCTAATATAAGGATAATGGTAAGAATGAAAATGAAAGCAATAACATCAATGTCATACCTCGAGATCAATGACTATAATATTTGACAAGCAGACTTCTTCCATCAAATAAATATCAAGTACCATTAAGATACGCCTGGCCATCGCTTGAAACGAGAACTTCTCTATGTTGGTGTCACGTAATCGTAAAATGGTGACACGGCGTCCTTCTTCGGTCAATAACGGCAATATAAAGTAGTCTCTAACAAAAATATTAAAAATAGAAATGTATGCAATAATAAATTAATCGGGTTCTTCCCGATTTGTACTAAAATCATCAATTACTTTAATTGTCTTTTCTTAAAATCTATTTACAGATTACGAAGAAAGATTTAATTACGACATATTGAAGCAATTTTGAATGTCTTGAGACAGCGGGTCGCGAGCGGCGAAAAATTCCGGCATGGTTGTTCGAACGGTGTAGTACCTTTCCAGGATTAATTTACATCTTTCAATATTGTTCTTGCAATTGAAAATAAATGTCTCCAGTTTACCATCGTCTGCAATGAACAAAAAATGTAAAGTCTTATAGTCCATTATGCAAAATTTTACATGGTTTTCGTTGGATACATGTATTCTTTACTTATTTGACTTAATTTGACTAATTTGACTCAACTTTAACTTTACTTAATTTTGTTCCAACATCGCGTAACAATTAATTTCTCTCATTTTTTAATAAATATCTTTAATTCTGATCATAATTTGTCAAAATCTTCCAAATATGTTATAAAAGAAAATTTTTGTTTACAAGAAAATATAATAGATCTAAGTATTCTTTCCGTCTATTTTTATATGAGCTTCGGAAAAATGGAAGATATCAAAATTTGTCTTGCTACAAGTTTATAGTGTACTAAAAAAGTATACAAGAATGTTTCATTGGCATAAGACAAAATAAAAGTAAAAATATATGAAAGGCATAAATGATATAAAGAACAATTTAAGATACAGTACCGGCCAAAATTATATCGCCTTTCGCTTTTTCGAGCATAACTAACTTTAAAGTGCACGAATGAAGAATTCGAAAATTATGGTGTATTTTGTCAAATTTTATTACCCTTCGTGTACAAGATGCACCTGTTATCAGGAGTCTACTGTGAAATTTTGAGCACATTCGACGCACTTTGACGAAAGATATGCTCAGAAAACCTGAAGGTGATATAATTTTGGCCGGTATTGTATCTGTATTTCTTCTACGTCTTATTGACTCTTAATCAATAATAACTGTTGGAACAAAGTTTCAGAATTTGTAATGCAAACGATTTCATAACACTCTTTGACGCACGAAGATCAAACTTACAATTAGAGTATTGCATGAATACACAAATTACAAATGTCAACTCTGCATTATTCCGTTACATGTGTATAAGAGCTTTTATAGTGTACTTTTTAATGCATTTTTTTAGAAAATATTCTTATTATGCATAGTTGAATTTGCTTTTATAAAAGCTTTAACTTAATTACAAAATATTTTAAAATTCTCAAAAAATCATAATAGATAAAAGACTAAAAAATATATATAACTTTTTCGAAAACTCTGAACGTATTGTAGACTTATTCAAATTGAAAGAAGGGTAGTTTCGCAAGAACGAGAAGGGGTTATATTAATTCGAGCTTTCATATAAAATAATAGGTGCAACTCTGAAAGTCTCTCAATACTCGCGGAACTCTTGGCGCGATTCTCTCTCTACCGCGCACGTCTTATCTCTCTCGTCTCTCGGACACGACTCTCCAAGTCCCTCTCTTAAAACGCTAGCCGTAGTTAGTCAATGTCACGAGAGCGACAATCGGTTGTCATACTTAACGCCCTACATTCGGCCGTCCTTGAAATAAAGGTCGCCTCGACCGTTCGACATTACAATTATCCTCCAATATGCTTTCAATTTCACCGTCTTGTATCCAGGGTTTCATATAATCGGCCGCTGATGATGTCTGCATGGGAGCTTCACTTTCACCAATCTTGCATAAAAGATAACGGTGGTTGCGCAAGACTTTTACAACTTCGTCCGAGGTATTTGGGCGCAAATTTAAGATGACGGCCCTTCTGAGTACTCTTGATTGCAACAAGATCCCTCTCACGATAGCTCAGGTGTTTCTTCTTCCTCTTATCATAGGTTTTCCTATTCTCTTTTTGAATCCTCTCAATATTCTCCTTCGCCTCGAACATTCCTTTTAAATCGCTATCCGCGCTCTGGGCTCTCCTTACTCGCGCAAGCATTCCTCCTTCGCATTCGCTCGCTATCAAACACATCGGCAAATGAACTTCGGCTGAGGGCGTCAACGTGCACCATGTTTTTGCCGGGCCTACGCTCTATCTCGTGTTGAAATCCTTCCAGCGCTAATGCCCATCTGGCCACTCGCACGCAAAGGTCTCGCTTTGACATTGTTTGCGCAAACGCTCGGCAATCGGTCACAATCTTGAGTTTCATTTCTAGCAAATACGTACGAAAACGCTATAGTGCTCTAACAATTGCTAGAACCTCGAGCTCGTGGCTTGGACATTTTTCTTCCGCCGGGGCAGTCTTACCGCTCGCACAGCATACCGGATGCAATGATTGAACCTCGCTGTCTCTTTGCAAAAGTATCGCTCCGAAATCGTACATGGACGCAATTCGGCCTTGGCCTCCACCCGAAATAAATTCAGTACTGGCCTCTCGCTCAGCATGATCTTTAATTGCTCGAAGGCGCTCCTCTCAGCTGTACCGAATTGAAATTTCGCATCCATTTTCAACAGGTTTGACAGCGGATGCGCAATCACACTATAACTCGGAATAAACTTACGGAAATAGCCACTTAGGCCTAGGACAGACTACTTCTGCCGCACGCTCCCGGGTTCCGGAAGACATAAGACAGTCTTAATTTTTCCTTCTGAAGTCCGTAATCGTGCCGTCTTCGATCCACCGATGTGTCCCAGAAATTCCACTACGCGACACCAAAAAAAGAACACTTTCTCCAGTTCATTATTAAACCTGTTTGACTCGCGGTAAACCTGAAACAATCATCAGGCTTTTTAGTCCATTGTCTTCGTTATTTGACAGTACAATTAGGTCATCCATATACACCGAACCAATTTTTGTTTCATTAAATCTCTAAAGACCGCGTTAAGAAATCTTTGAAACACGGACGGGGAGTTACACAAACCGAAGGGGACTCCTAAGAATTCGTATTGTTCATCCGGCACGATAAAAGACGTGTATTTTACGCTTGACTAGTCCATCCACACGTGGATGATACCGTTCTTCAAATCGATCGTACTGAAAACTCTCGCATCCTGCAACCTATGCGAACCATCCTTTTTCTTCACGAGTACTACAGGACTCGCGAAATCAGAGACGGACTCTTGGATTATGTCTTCTCTCCTCCAATCATCGATCTGTGTATTTACAATATCTCTTTCGTACTGTGAAAGTCGTGTCGCTTTAGTTTCGAAACAATCTGTCATCTTACAAGGGGACCGTCAGGTGTTCCCCTCCCCGATTTGGCTGAAATTGTGCACCACTCGACGCACCTCTCAAGCGTTTTCGAGAAAAAGCAATTTGAAATTTGCGTGTATGTGTTAGTAGCTGTGCAGCGCAAAATTATATTTTTGCGCTGCACAGCTACTAACACATACACGCAAATTTCAAATTGCTTTTTCTCGAAAACGCTTGAGAGGTGCGTCGAGTGGCTTGCTCTATAAAAGTTTCTCGTTAAGTACTACACTTATGCACAATTTCAGCCAAATCGGGGAGGGGAACACCTGACGGTCCCCTTGTTAATATCTGTTTCTCGCGTCCGCACCAGCCTATAGTTGTTTATCAACTCTGTTACAAGTTGCGATAAATATTTTTGCATATTTCTTATATTAAATTTCTTCTATTGTTTTCATATTACGTGCTTTATCCGAATTCCAAAGCTCATCAAAATTAAAAGGAGAGGATACTTGGGTATGTTTCTTCATTAATTTAGATATTTAGAACTCACAATCAGATACTTTTCAGTATGCATATTATAACTACGATATTTAAGGCTATATTTTTACAACAATATAATCGCATGCTATTGTATTTGATATAATTAGAACAATTTGCGAACGAACCTATGTGTTTCGGTAAATGCGGTTGTTTCGAAAGCCATTCTCGAAGCGCTCTGATATCCTGTTTTCTCATTTCCGGGTCAGGAGGAAGTTCCTCGTCTATACGTTTCTGTTGCGCCAGCGTTGGTGGTGACAACGTCATGATTTTCTGAGACAACCACCAAATCGATATTATTGTCCAGTCACACTGCAATGCGAGTATCGCAAGATTTGGTGCGACAGAAAAATAATTCCAACAATATATTTACTGTAGTGGAATAACCAGGGTTGGGAAAGTGACTTAATAAAAGTATCCACTTTTCCTTTCGGTGTAGGTAAAAATAGCACCGGGTCACGCGTCTTTGCGGTTTAATTTTCGCATATTTACGAACAAATATTTGGTCGCAAATTCCGAATACCATTTAATGAACGATGTTTAGCATAGACTTCGAAGAATTCTTAAGTGTGCTCAACAGAACACAGAAAACGTGTAATTTGTACATACACTATTTGTGGCTGCTAATATTTTTATGCTAACATTGCTCGCTGTTAACTCTGATATTTCTGCGCGTTTTTATAGTGCAACCAATCAACAGTCATATTATAATATTATAATATATTATATAATATATTATATATTATATATTATATATTATATATTATATATTATATATTATATATTATATATTATATATTATAATATATAAGTCACGTCGTCTTTTATAAGCCAATGTCATGGAACCATTAACATTTACCGTAACAAAAATTCTGGCCGATCTTGATGTAAATTACATTTACGTTATTATAATATGTGCATGAAAAAACGAAGGTAGGATGTCGGAAATAATACATGAGTAATGAAGAGAAGTGCATACGTGACGCGAATTCGATCTCGCGGGCGACCTTATTTCAAATTATTTCCAAATTTCAAACGCGCAAATTTTTGGAAAGCCGATCATCTCGATGAATACCAATTAGCTCCAGGACAATCATCCGTTGTTATCGCGCAAGTGAGTGCCATTCATAAAAGGACGAGACGGGAATTTCGTTGGTTATACGAATTTTATTTATCGCACACTTTCAATAAAGAGAATTAAAGTTAAGGTGAAAAACGGAATTCACACCAAGTTGAGGTTTTAATTTTTAATGCAGTTTAGAATTAAATATTTATTATCACTTAGCACTTATTATTGTTGTACAAGCACTAGATTGATAACAATTTTTACAACTAACAACTTTTTACTACTTAAAAAATTTGATTAATTAGCTTTGAAACGATCGTCTTTATGGAAATTATAGTAACATTTATAAGTTGCTGGAATGAAAATATTATGTATAACTTGTAAAATACTTCTAATTAAAACTGTAAATCATTTGCAGCCGAGTTGCAACTTTATACAATCCAGTTTCCATATAATCTTATCACGTGCAACTGAAGTAATACTATTGACAAACCGGTAAAAGTCCTCGAGTGGATAATATACGTGAGAGGAATTTTATGTTGGAGAAGATAGAGTGATCAAAAACGATCTCGACGAGATTAATAAGTTGATATGCGGGTTTGTGTAAAAATAATGAACAGACAATATATTTTAATTACAAAAAAACTGTGAAAATTAAAATAAAATAAAAATGCATTTCCCGTTTTGAATCTCGAAATCGAGCTAATTGAAAAACTAATAACATTTTAAATATTAAACATCTTTAATCTAAATTAGTTTATTTGATAAAAATAAAAATATTTTTAAATTCTGTAAAGCGTGGTCTACAATGGCAGTAGGAGTAGTGGATTAAGACTGTAAGACGTCGGAGTAAGCTCGTGTTTCCGGTGTAGTAGGCGTAAAGTAAGGCTGTAAGCAAAATGGTTCAATTCCATTTCGTACGACCTACTCCCTTACTCTCAGCCACTGACAGTTCACGAAATAGGTTAAAGTTGAAACCCTGATCTCGTTTGCGCCTGTTCACAGGCCGAACCCACCACCTCCGACCAATAGATCTCTTCGTTTGCATAATATGCCATTGAAGAGTCAAGAGCTGACTCCATAATAATATAAATAACACAAATCCAATTCTTCGCACATCCATATTCACCAACAACGGTAACATTTGTGTAATAACATTGGTTAACACTGATTGGCTCATTATAATCCTTACTCTACGCTATTGTAGACACTCGGGCGTAAAGGGACCTTAATCCTACAGCCTATGTCTAACGCCTACTTCTTTAATCCACTACTCCTACTGCCATTGTAGACCACGCTTTAGTATTTTCCAAAAATTTGTCGAAGCCAATAAATATATCACGTCACTTTCAGAGATTTTCATAACCTTTCTTTTAATAAATAAATGCCAATCTTGTCAAGGAATAAATAAAAAGCAATTTTGCGAATTCCAACACGGAGAAAAATAATTTGCTGACACAGCAGATTTTATGCTGTTACAGCAAAATCTGTTCGTTACTATATGGATAGCAAGAAGATTTGTTATGAATACTAATCGCAATTTGCTGGATATAATTTGCTGGATTAACAAATTATTTCGTTGTGACAGCAAATGTATTTGCTAAGAATATATTATTTTGCTTCAGTAGCAAATTAATGTGATTTTAATTACAAATACACTCAGCGAATTTGTTCAATTCTCGCAACAAAATAGATTGTGCTATAATGACGAATAATTCGTAAAATTAGTTCTATCAACTAAATTTTATTGCTATTACTACGAATATGCAGTAGCAACGGCGATTTTGCTATCACAGCAAAGTTATTTTTTCCGTGAAAAAATTTGTATCTTCAATTTAATGCGATTTGTATTTCGTGATGTGTAATTATTCAAGGACTGGAAAGAAACACGTAAGTTCCAATGATTGATCTTGGATATTTCAGCACTTACTTGTCCTCTTACGATAGTGACGAAAGTTCACACAGGCTTGCAGAGACGTAAAAATCGCGCGATGAGTGGAGAAGTACCTCCCGCGGTTCCCGACGCTCAAGATTTCTGTCTGCTCGAAACGAAACGATTCCTCTATTCTTCGCGCTAGTGATACACCGAGTGGTGCCCCCACCATTCGGGCATCATACACGTACGTAATACGCCGAATGTGTGGCGAGCGAGGCGCAGAGAAAGTGCGCTGCTCAGTACACAAATAAACGAGATCCGACTTAAAATCCACCCACGGATGCCGCTGGTTTTTTCGGACGCTACCTTCTCTCTCTCCCTCTCTCTCTCTCGGAGAGAAGTGGCAACTACCGAGAGTATCCTGCCACACATATCCCTGTCCTCCGAAAAGGGGGTTGGCGAGAGGTCTAAAGCCCAATGTCCACGATGCTAGAACTTGGTCCAAGTCCTTGGTTCTAGAAACGTATAGCCAATAAAATTGCCGCTTTTCCGTAAAAACTACAAATTGATTGGTTACAAATTTCTCAATCCAAGAACTTGGGCGCAGTTCTTGTATCGTGGACACAGGCCTTAACAACCCGTAAAAACTCACTGTTGCGAATACACACAATAAGCCTCGGATGGAAGCAATTTGTTGTTAAAACCAGAGCCCGCTTGGGGGTAGAGCCGGTTATGAAGATGATGATGATGATGTAATACTACGCCGAATAAAAAGAATGTTTACATTCACAGATCCTTGGCCAGTTTCACAAACTTCGGTTAACTGCTAACCGAAGGTTCGTTTCTCTGTCTCTTCTTCAATAAATGGAATAAGATAGGGAGTCGACTGAACCCTAGTTAGCAGTTAACCGACGTTTTTGAAACTGGCCCTTAAGGGGTTAAGCCACCCTGAACGGGTCAAAATCAGTGTCATTTTCGTTAATTTCTTTTAGAAATATAACAAAATATATACAAAGTTCAAAAGTAGGTGTGTATTTAACATGTCTTTAAGGTAAAAAAATTTGTTTTGTTTATTTTTAATGTAAAATAGAAGCGGTAAAGCCGAGACACCGAAACTCCATCTACTACACCTTTGAACCTAAGACAAAAACAAAAAATTTTTATTATCTAGATACTAGATAAAAACTAGAGAAATACGTACGGATATTTAAAAATGTTGATTTTTGTAGAATTGGTAGATGGACGAAAACAAAGTTCATTTTTTCGCCTAAAATGTTGTGTAAAAATAGTTGCACAAAAGGTTTGTTGCGTTACTCCTAACTGCTCAGCAAGCTCTTTTTGCGTTCGCGCTGAATTCTCAGCGAGCAGTTGCTCCAAATCGTCATTGCCGCGTTTCCGAGGACCTCCTATGCGTTGTTCGTCACTCACAATAGACTGAAATCACCGCTTTTAAACCGTCTATACCAAAATACGCACACATCGTACGATACAACACCGTACATTATCACAGCAAATGCACAGCAAAATCAACAGTCAATTGTGTAACGATTTATAAAGACGCATAAAATGGTTGTAATTTATTATTATACCTGAAATACTTCAAACTACAACTTTCTGGTTAGACCTTGAAAATTAGCAAATTACGTAGCTCGAAGTTCAAAGAATAAGCAAGAATACGCAGGTTAAACTCACATTTGAAGCACAAGAGCTTGTCACAGACAAACGCAGCTGCATACTCTGCAGACTGCGTGCAAGTTTATTGCGCATTACGCGTCGCGCGCATTTACATTTCAAATAAATAGGTCTCAGAAACCTAACAACTGCTACATTTCAATTAAGTAGGTTGCAGGAATCTTTCATTTGCAATCATTCAATACATTAGGTTGCAGAACCCTGACAATTGCAATATTTCAATAAAGAAAGTTGCAGGAATATTCCAAACGAGATGTTGAGATAGTTCTGCAACCTAACAGAAACTTTGTGTGCTATTAGGGTGGGAAATCAACGATTGCACGCTAGAGGCATAAGCCGGTATTCATAGTCAGATCTTATATTCAAGACCGTCAAGGTCATCTTTAGATACTCCATAGCCAATGAAATATTCCATACAGCAACTTTAGATAAATTCAAGACGGTCTTGAATATATTAATATTCTCCGCGATGTGACATAAAACCGGCGAAAATTTAAGCTCCATTTTTTCCGCTAAATAGCGTTGCGATTGACAGCCAGAGGCAATAGCCATTGGTTATTTTATACTTCATGTGTCACCGTTACGTTCATGGTGGAAGGAAAACAAGGTTACGTTGTTATTATACATCAATTTGATACCATTAGTACATAAGCGGAAGCTCTATTGTATTATATTTCGAGAAGTCAAATTTATCGATTGCAAATGTCATCCTAAAAGCCGTGAAATGCCAAGTTTCTTGCGAGATGGTGGACTGTATTACCATATGCAACAGCGCCTGCATAACATGTATCTGGTGCATCTTCTTTTCGGTATGGTACGAGCATGTGATAGTCGAAACCGAGCGCCAGGAGTGTGCTAAAACATGTTCGTTGCCGCATGCTGCTTCGGCTAAGTTATTCCTTTCTTCTCTTTAGTTTCCCAGGATTCTCCAGGAATCTTAGAAAAGTGGATTCGAGCGAGTGTTGCGTACGTAGAAAGCCGAAGCACCGAAGAACACGGCCGCATGATCTTCCGAGATGCGTGAGAACTGGATCGGTTCATGCGGAAGGGAGATTCAAGGATTCCCCTTGCTTCGAGCGCAATCGTGAGGATCAACGTGAGTGTCGATCATTCCAGAAGGGAAAAATGTGCGTTCGATCAAGGAAACGTCGAAACGTGCATCGGTGCACAGAAAATAATGGGAAAACGTCGCAGATATACAGCAGACAAATTGAACATTCGAACAGTTACGACAAGTCGGAGGATTCTTTGAACAAGAAGACCAGCACGTGCGCAGACGTGAAAGCAGACAAAAGCGAATATCGTATTTGTAAAAGTCTCGAGGTGAAAATTGGCGACATCAAGAATTAAAAATAAATGTGGAGTATGAAAATCAAATAAAAGTATCGGACGGCATCGAAGATGCATCGAGCGTTTTTCTCAACAAATTAATACCAAAATTAATTAAATAAAAAAAGACATATCTCTGTGATAATCCGTGTACGTTGAGGGAAAGCTTGTTCCTACAATTGTTCCATTCGTACAAGTGTTTGTCAAATAAACCTAAACGCAACAAATAAGATAAATGTTAGGTATCTCGTTAGCTGTACATGATTTTACATTTATAAAATTTATCCCTTCGATCTTTATTTTAAAATTTCTCCCTTTTTTTCTCTCCATGTAGCAAGTTTATGTCGTTAATTTATTAATCTGTCGTGGCAATTTGTTAAGAAGCAGTGGCGGCGACGGAAGCCTCGAAATTCTGCTCATTATGATCACGCCTCTTATCCGTCGTATCTTTCTGGATGACAATTTCCTTAAAAGGAGCTCGTGTTGAATTAATATCGGAATCTGCGTCGACAATCTGCATAACTCTCTGGACTGTTGAAAACTCCATCACGACCGTCGACTTTGTGTCATTTATTGTTTGAGAAGCCTCTGACATTTTGACGTTTTTATTGAATTTTATTATTTCCAGCTCATCCCTGAAATGAACGTTCAGTGTACAACAAATTATAGTAATATTATAAATATGTATAAGTACAACACGAACATAGGAAAATAAGAAATAAAATGAAATTTACGGGAATGATACTTTCTCTCCACTTCCCTTTTGATATTCCAAACCTCTTTTCTTCTGGCATGTTTTACTTCTGTACTCGCGACTACCATTCGCTCCGGACTTGCTAACAGCATTAGCAGACCGGTCAAAATCTGATTTTGGTAGCTTTTTAGCAGTTTGTAAAGGGCTCTTCGACTTCTTCAATTTTTGTTGAGTAGCAGTTTTCTCAGGACAGCAGCGATGACCCTGATATTGCCACCTGGTATGCAAAATTGTTAGTAGCATATATGCATAGCACATATAATTATAATATACCCAGACAACATGCATGTCTGATTATATGTCAAATAGGTTTCAATTTATAGCATATGATACATTTGTTAAAGCATCTGTGACACATTGCTAGGATAATGTTTAAAAGTCTTTTAAAAATAGAAAAGTTTGTGAAATTAGAATAATGAGATTTGTAGTGCAATATGTAATATATGTATATAACGATCGTGTTCTTGGGGCAAAGTGGAGAACTTGAATAACGTGAAAAAACAGAGACAAAGCAGAGGATATATGGTAGAACGAATAAAAAACCACTTTAAATATCGACTGATCTCTTTCGCAAGTCGTATCTTAATATCTTAATCTTAATATTACGTAATTTCGGGTTTTTGTGCTTGAACGCTCTTTCTGAGCCAGAATGGCTGCGGACAAGTTGTTGCTTCAAATGTTACAAAGTATTCTTCTTGTCTTCTCTTTCAGTAAAGAGAAGAGAAACGCTTCGAAGCGTTTGCAGCAGCAGCTTGACCGCAGCCTAAGTACAAAAACCAGAAATTGTGTAATGTCAAGATACAACCTTGCGAAAGAGATCAGTCGTCTTTAAGACAAGTCTAACAGACGTCGAAAATCGGGACATAAGACGTCTTAAAGACATAATGTTCTCTGAGTACATATGTATTTAAATAACGCCGACAGCACGATTTACACTCTGCAACTATTTGTTCCTATAGTCGCACAGAATTGTAACAAAGCATGAAATAGTCTGCGACAGATAATTACCACAACGCGCAGGTCGTGACTGTGGAACTGAACATAAAAATGCAATTCAGCACTGTCAAAACTATTAGTGGCTCCAGCATGACTCGCCAACATCTTCCCTCGTAGGAACGGTTTATCGCTCGCAACCACTTCAAGGTGCAGAATCGCCAGTGCTAATTTTTTGTAAAATTCTCTTTTCAAGAGGTAAATAGCCGACGCATGTTCCTTTTCAGTAACGACGTTTATTCACGCCAGTTTGATTGTGTTATACATTTCTAACTACACCCTGAATGTAACGGCGTTCAGAGTGAGCTAAAATGTAAAATATAATTTCCGATTTTGCACGATATTCACTTTATATTTTATCTGGATACATACTCGGAAACACGTTTGAAAATAATTCAGTTATAGAATTTTAAGGACCGGTATATTCATAGTGTGTCGGATCTTGCATTCAAGACCATCTTGAGTTTATCTAAAGATGCTGTACGGAACATTTCATTGGCTACGGAGTATCTAAGAAGTCGCTTTCACTCTCCGGAAATTCTTTTCTTCTAAGGCAACACATTTGTGTGCTTTATAAGAAATTTCGTACATGTTATGTGATTTTTTTTTTACAAAGAAAAGTTGTGAAGAAAAGCAAAGTAATGACCTACTCGCGTGACATATTTTTCAATTTTGGCAGGAAAATGCCCTCGCAGAATTGGCAGGTGATCGGAAAGGGAAGATATACAGGAAGTGCGTACGTACAGATTACCATAACTGTTGACAGGGGAACCGACCAATCAGCAACCCTGCTACGCCGTGGACCTTCTCTCCGCGGGGGTCCTCCTGAGACCCTTTGTGGACACCGGGGCGCACAATGGCGCGGTAACCGCAATATAAAAACGGTGGTCTCGAGATCCCTCTCGCGCATCTGTGTGAAGTAATATAATGATGATATTACGGCTTTTCCCCCTATCTTCCGTTCACAGATCAAGCAGCTTCGGTTGCAGTTTCCGACGCCACAATCGGGAGGACCACCCTGAACGATCACGCTCGTTACCGCCCGCGGTGAACGTGCCTGCTGATTTATTTATTCTTTCGCTGTGTGCTACAATTAGCAATATTAATGGAAAACGAGCGAATTGTGCCAGGCCGAAGGTAACCTGCCAATTCGCAGCGAGAAAAGTAGGCCTCCACGTTACTGTTTTATGATACACGTAAAAACTAATCCCTCTACCATAGCCTTTTATTTGTACATTCATAGACAGTTGTAATTTATTTGAGTTACTTTTCATTGCAATTTAGAATTACAAAAGTTTGTTAGGAAGGAGGAAATGTATCCACATTTAAACTCAACAACTTAATTTGAAGAAATGACTTACTGAGGAGAAATAATTTGAAGAAAATTATTCCACCCCTCAATCGAAATTATTTCCTAATTTCCTTAAGAAACATTTCACTTATACAATATCAACGTTTGCAGCACGTGAGTTTTCTTTAATCGAGACGCTACTCTATGTCACGTTTAGTTCTGCTTGTGTCCAGGCGTGCGAAAAAAAATATCTCGATTTCACGCGTTTTTCACAAGTGGCCCATGAATTATCGTCGTTCTTTCATCCCGAAAACGTCCTATCTCGCGTGTCGAGATCCTCTCCTTAGCTCGCAGACAGCCGTCCCGGGCACAATATCGCGGTCACTTGTCGCTCCATTCATCTGCGACCGCAGGCTCCTCTTCAGCCCGTCACGGCTCCGGGAAAAACGAGTAGCTTTTCACTCGCCGCTCGCCGCGCCGTTTCGCCCCGTGTGTGCCAGCGCATCGTGCGAGACCGCGCTCTCTCCTCGTGGTGGCCTAATTTATTGGCCAGCGCCATTGTCACCGCCCTTAAACGCGACCACACAGAATGCGAACGACACCTTTATGAACTCCCACGCCATTCACGATTACGACACCGCCCTCGCATCTTCTTACCCCCGCGACTCCCGGCATATTGTGGGCCCCGCTCTCCCCCCGCGCACCGATAATCGCGGCATCTAGTCTCCTCTTTTATTATACGTTTAACTTTACACACCGGATCAGACACCGTCGCGGACGACGCTCGCGGGATATTCGTGACTCGCCGGCTGTGACGACCTCGAGAGAATCGGCGACAAAGCCGAGAAAATATGAGGACATTCTGAAATGTCTCGAGTGTCTCCTAAAACCGCTTCTGGGAGAAGAAGAACGATTCTAAACTCAACAGAGATATATCGTATTGTCACTTAACAATAGCCAATGCTTTTTGCTTCCTCATAGAGGAAGCTTTGTTTTCGTGAAAAAATTTTTTATCCAGTTTTCTTTGAAAACATGTTTAGAATGTTCCAAAACGTCCAAAAATCACATTCAGAAAAAATGTCGGTATGTACGTATGTCTGTATGTATCCTTATAAGGTACCTCTAAATAACTTTTCAAATATGTAAGATAGAAAAAATGTTAAACATGAAAGTTGTACGGTTTTAAGTAATGCATTACATAGTAATATAAATATGACCTTGAACAGCTTCCTCAAGGTCACGCAAAGATCACCTTGAAATTTTTTAATGAAAACCCTTTTTTTAATACATATTCTTATAGCTTACCTCAAGGGCTTTCCAAAACACTATAATAAAGTATATTTTCGTTAGGTACTTTCGGAGTTATGTGCTTTTGAATTGTTTTTGAGAAATGTCTGTGGTTGCTGTAACCATAATGAAAGGAGATAAGGTGTGCTTTCACCGTGAACCAATTTTGGTTTGTTTCTGCGCCTTCCAAAACGACGCCATATTGGAAAATATCAACCAGTAGCATCAATGCGTGAGATGTAGATAATTATGCTATACTATCTCAGGAGGAAGATGTAGATAATGAGGAAGATGACGGCTGCGAAGGCGAGTACGCTATTGGTTGATATTTCCCAATATGGCGTCGTTTTGGAAGTGGTTGTGATTGGTCGTGCGCGGTAGCACACCTTTCTTCTTACATCATGGCTGTAACTATCGCAAATTTTCTTTAATAATGATTTCCAAAAATTTCAAATGTCTATAACTCAAGAACTAATTAATCATATTTTAATGAATTATACAGGGTGAGTCTTTCCATATCCGACAAAATTTTTGAGAAGGTAGAACGGATCGAGATGAACGGAAAAGTACTGTACCATTTTGCAATTTTCGTAATAGTTAACGAGTAATTAATTTTTAAAAATCGTTGTCTTAGGCCGGCCTACCGCCCAATTCGAGCGCGTGGCAAGATGTGATCGCCCGGCGATCGATATTGCTATGCGCACATCTCGCCACGCGCTCGAATTGGGCGGTAGGCCGGCCTAAAGCCCGCTGCAGACGACGCTATTTTTCCTGCTGGATTGCTTGCGA